ACAGGCCCAGCTCCGCCGTGGGCAATGCAGTCTTGATGCCCATAGCCTGGATGGGGCTGGGGGAGACAGAGTGGGTGAGGGCACTGCTGACTCCCAGTTCTGCCTAGTCCTCCCTCACGGTCCCCCACTGACAGAGTGAGGACCCCATTCTTGAGACTGCCCCTTCTGCCCTTTTGGGGTCTCATGCCATCATTCTCCCCCCCATCCTCAACTCCTTCCAGGACCCCGAATATCTGGTACCTCATCCTAACTGCTGCTGTAGCTCCCACCTTTCCCATTGAAGCTCTTGAAAGCATAAGCACTGCTCTCAGCCTGCCTTCCCCACCTTCACTGACTCCTCATACCCTGCGGGTACACTGATCCCCACCCTCAGCTTAAACTGCTCCTGCCAAAGCCTCTGAAGCCCTTCATGCAAAGACACTCCACTTGTATCACCTCAGTCACATTCCTGGCCCTCAGGGTCCCCATCCCCCTCAGTAAGCCTCCCTCAGCTCCTGACAAAGCCTCACCCCTCCCTGCCCCCTTTCTCTAATTCCTGCACCCTTCTGAGCCACTTTTACTTTCCGTGACCTCCCCAGGTCCGGCCCACAGCGCCAAGCTGCCATCCCTCTCATTCAGCACCCAGCCTTTCACTGACCCCCATGGCCCCAGCCAGCCAGAGCCCCAGCCTGCCACGTCCCTGGTCCCTGTCTGCGTCCGTGTCCACACTGCCCCACTCACTCAGTGCTCTGTGTATTCAGCCCTGGATGCTGGCTGGAGGCTGTGCTATTTGAAGAGGTGCCCTGGGGTAGCGGGAGTGGGGCCAAGAGGGCACCAGGGAGGGTGCTGGCTGCTGTCCAAGGTGCTGACCGGTATCAGGCTCAGGGTGAGCCTAGCCACTCCCTCCTGCCAGGGCCTAGCTCATCCCCAGGAGCTCTGCTGGGCCATCCCTGCGACCTCAGCTAGCACCTATTCCCTTTCCATCTAGCTCTAGCCTGGCCTTGGATCTTCCCAAGGGTCCCGTGGGTAACAGACCCAGGACCCAAATTAAAGGGAGGAACATGTCTTGGCACCCTCTCAGGCTGGGCCGAGCCAAGAGGTAGGTAGCTGGCATGGTTCTGTCTCCCACCCCAGAGCTTCTCCCAAATCTCCCTCACCAACTCTGAAAACAGCTTTCCAGGGCCCCCACAGTCAGCATTCTCCTTATTACATAGATGGAGGGGTCATGGACCAGAGAGGGACAGGGACCTGTCAAGGTCACACAGTGAAAGTGGGAAAGGATCAAGTGTTCTCAGTGAGGCTTTCTGGAGTCACAGATAAGCGATGACCATCCACTGCCCCCTGCCCACACCAGGGGGCTGCCGGGCCTGACTTCTGCATTGCTGGCCTGAGGGCTGAGGCGCCGGTGAGTTGGGGGAAGGGAGGCCCCGAGGATCAGGTTAATGGAGCAGGAGCTTGAAACCGGAGCACGGTGAAGAGCCCGCGAAATAGCTTTGTCAGCTGCCTCCGACTCGCCACTTTCCAATTTTAGCTCCCTATGGCTGGTGCGGGGTGTCCCCAGTGAGGCCTCTGTGAGCAGGGCTAGGGCTGGCCCCTGGCCTGGGACCTCTCCCAATAGACCCCCAGACCTGGGCCAGCTTGTGAACCCAGGGGTTCCCCCTACCCCCTGGTCCTGTCTGCCTCAGATACACCTGGGTTAAAAGTCTGCTCTGGGGCCTGAGGTCTGGGATGAGGGGCCTGGAGCAGGCTCCGAAGGTCTCAAGGACCCCAGAGTGGCTGCATCCCCAGCTGGCACTGACCTTGAGGAGGCTGTGAGGGACCCTGGCACACTGCCCACCTCGGGGCTTCTGGGTCTTGCGTCCGGCCGTGTGTCCGTCCGACCAGCTGGGTTCTGGGGCCACGGTGGGGTGTGTCCAGCCCTGGGGTCCCCACCCCCTCGAGGCTAGAGCGGTGAGTGGCGACAGCAGGAGAAGCGGGGGGAGGGTAGGGAGGAGGTGGCCTTCCTGGAGTGGAGCTGAGCAGAGTGGAGCGGAGCTGAGTGCTGCAGAGCTGCTGGCCACAGGGAGCTGCAGGGAGGATCCTGGAGGCGGGTGGGGTGGGGTGCGGGAAGGGGTGGCCAGTGGCCGGGACAGGGACACCCGGGCCTCACTTCAACCTGCTTCTCCTGGTCCATAGAGCCTGTGTCTCCCTTTCACTGCTAGCCAGGACTCCCCTCTTCCAGGAAGCCTTCCAAGTGGCCCCCGCTGGTCTCTCCAGGCTTGTGAGCCCTGCCCCTGCCACACAGACACACACACACACATACTCACACACACAGGCACACACTTTCACGCCCAGCTCCATGGACTGCATCCTGCACCTTTACATGTGAACCCCCGAGGGCTATCCCAGGGAAGACCATCTCGCCCCCTGCCATTCCATCGTGCTGAGAGTCCTGGCTGGCCAGGCATTGGTGCCTAGGGAAGGACTGATTTGCCTGGTGGGATTGGAACTGGCATGTGACATGTGGCCGAGGGGGCCCCCATGCTCCAGCCTTGTCCCATGGGGTGCTGTCCAGGTGAAGGGGTGCTAGCAGGGTTACTTGGCCAGGCTTGAGTGGGTACTTGGAGTGGCATCTCCTTGATGGCAGGGTGGAAGCAGACAGCCATGTCCCTAAACAACTGGGACTCCTCTGGGGGGAGGGTTGGGGTGGGGGGCAGGGCCCTCACTCTGTGAAGGGGCAGCCAAGGCCTTAGCCGGGCCTGTCTGATGGGGGTGGGGCTCCTGAAGGCCACCTCTGAGAGGAGAGGCACCTCCGTTAGTCCTCCTTTGGGATGACGGGGTACTGTTCACTGTGTGTGGGGGGCCAGCGTCTGGGGTCTGGAATTAGAAGGAGCTGTGTGACTTTAACAGTCAGAGGACAGATCCTGGAGCCCCTGCTAATCCCAACCTCAGTCATAGGATCAGGTACAACTCGGGGAAGGAGGGGCTGCTCCCCAGCCCCCAGCAGGGGCACTTCCAGGGCCTGAGCAAGGCCTGCGAAGGGGAGAGAGACCCTCACCCCCCACAATGCCTTTAGGCGATGAGCTTCCTCCCAAGCATATACGCTGGCCCAGAGGAAGAAACAAGGAGACCCCAGCACACATGCCCCACAGAATGACGAGAGGTCTGTGTCGCAGGTCCCTGACCC